ACTTAGCCTGGGCTTCGTCTATTGAGTTGTGTAAAAGTCAAGGTGTTCAAGATCATTTAATCACGAAATCTAGCGAAGGAGATGAAAAGGCCAAAGTACTTTGGGAGAAGATCGATGCTCAATTATGTAGTATTTTGTGGCGATCTATTGATTCCAAGTTGATGCCTTTGTTTCGTCCATTCTAGACATGTTATTTGGTTTGGGAAAAGGCTCGCACTTTATACACTAATGAGATATCTCGTTTCTATGATGTGATATCGCAAATGGCAAATTTAAAGAAACATGAATTAGATATGTCAACTTACTTGGGACAAGTACATGCAATCATGGAGGAATTTGAGAAGTTGATGCTAGTTTCTGCTAGTGTTGAAAAGCAACAAGAGCAGCAACAAAAAATGTTTCTAGTTCTTACTCTTGCTGGACTTCCTAATTATCTTGACTCAGTACGCGATCAGATTTTGGCTAGTCCGACTGTCCCCACAATTGATGAATTATTCCCTCGATTACTTTGCCTTGCTGCAACACCAAGTCACCCAGTGATCTCATCACAAACACTTGACTCGTCTGTTCTCGCATCCCAGATAGTGGACAATCGGGCATCTCATACTATGGAGAATAGATGAGGAAGAGGTTGTTTTGGAAGATCTAGACCCAAGTGCTCTTATTGTCATAAACTTGGACACACTCGTGACATGTACTATTCTTTACATGGTCGTCCACCAAAAAATGCTTAAGTTGCTCAGATCGAGACTATAGGTAACTATGGATTTTCTTTGTCTGAAGGGGAATATAATGAGTTCCTTTAGTATCGAGCAAGTGAGCAGACATCTCCACAAGTAGCCTCTGTTTCTCAAACTGATACTTCTGTTGCTAGTAATTCTTTTGCTTGTATTGCCCAGTCTAGTACTCTTGGACCATGGGTTGTGGACTCAGGCGCTTCTGATCATATTTCTGGTAATAAATCCCTTTTGTCAAATATTGTGTATTCACAATCTCTTCCCACTGTTACTTTAGCCAATGGGTCTCGAACGAAAACAAAAGGAGTTGGACAAGCTAATCCCCTACTCTTTGTCAATCTAGATTCCGTTCTTTATGTCTCTGGCTGTCCTTTTAGTCTTGCATCTGTTAGCCATTTGACTCGTGCCCTCCATTGTGGTATATATTTTATTGATGATTCTTTTATTATGAAGGACTGCAGTACGGGACAAACGATTGTAATGAGGCTTGAATCAGAAGGCCTTTACTACCTTAACTCACTCAATTCCTCCAAGGCATGTCTAATTACAGATCCTCCAGACCTAATTCACAGACTTTTAGGACATCCAAGTTTATCCAAGCTTCAGAAGATGGTGCCTAGTTTGTCTAGTTTATCTACTTTAGATTGTGAGTCGCGTCAGCGAGGGAACCATACATGCGCCTCCTTTCCTCGTAGTATTGAGAGTCATGCAGAGTCTATTTTTTCTTTAGTTCATTCTGATATATGAGGTCCTAGTAGAGTCAGTTCAACCTTGGGATTTCGTTATTTTGTTAATTTCATTGATGATTATTCAAGATGTACTTGGCTTTTCTTAATGAAAGATCATTCTGAGTTGTTTTCTATATTTCAGAATTTTTGTTCTGAAATCAAAAATCAATTTGGTGTTTTTATTCGCACTTTTTGCAGTGATAATGCCTTAGAATATTTATCCTCTCAATTTCAGCAGTTTATGAATTCTCAAGGAATTATTCATCAGACCTCTTGTCCTTATACCCCTCAGCAAAATGGGGTTGCAGAGAGAAAGAATAGGCACCTCATTGAGACTGATCGCACCCTTCTCATTGAATCTCATGTTCCGTTGCGTTTTTGGAGTGATGCAATTCTTGCAGCTTGTTATTTGGTTAATCAAATGCCTTCATCTCCCATCCAGAATCAGATTCCGTATTCAGTATTGTTTCCCCAGTCACCCTTATACTTTCTTCTCCCTCGTGTTTTTGGGAGCACTTGTTTCGTTCATAAGTTAGCCCCTGGGAAAGATAAGTTAGCTCATCGTGCTCTCAAGTGTATCTTCCTTGGTTATTCTCATATTCATAAGGGATATCGTTGTTGCTCACCTGATCTTCATAGGTACTTTATGTCAGCTGACGTCATATTTTTTGAGTCTAAACCTTTCTTTACCTATTTTGACCACCTCGATATATTTGAGGTGTTACCTATATCGACCTTTGAAGAGTTCACTATAGCTCCTCCTTCACCTTCCGCCATAAAAGTCATACCCATTCCAACCGTTGCGGAGTCTAATGTGGCTCCTCCTAGATCCCCATCCACATGAACACCACTCTTGACTTATCATCGTCGTCCGTGCCCAGCATCAGGCCCAGCTGATTCACGTCCTGCACCTGACCTTGCTCCTACTGCGGACTTGTCTCTTCCTAGCACACCCATTGCACTTTGAAAAGATATACAGACCACACTTAATCCTAATTCCCATTATGTCGGTTTAAGTTATCATCGCCTGTCATCACCCTATTATGCTTTTATATCTTCTTTGTCCTCTGTTTCCATCCCTAAGTCTACAGGTAAAGCATTATCTCATCCAGGATGGCTACATGCTATAATTGACGAGATGTCTTTACATACGAGTGGTACTTGGGAGCTCATTCCTCTTCCTTCAGGTAAATCTACTGTTGGAGGTCGTTGGGTGTATGCAGTCAAGGTTGGTCCAGATGCAAGGTTGATCATCTTAAGGCCCTCTTATTGCCAAGAGATATACTCAGATATTTGGGCTCGATTACAGTGATACCTTCTCCCCCGTAGCTAAGATAACATTAGTCCGCCTTTTTCTATCCATGGTTGTTGTTCGCCATTGGCCTCTCTATCAGCTGGATATTAAGAATGTTTTTTTATACGGTGACCTTGAGGATGAAGTTTATATGGAGCAACCACCTGAGTTGTTGCTCAGAAGGAGTCTCGTGGCCTTGTATGTCGCTTGCACCGGTCACTTTATGGTCTAAAGCAGTCTCCTCGAGTCTGGTTTGGTAAGTTCAGCACAGTTATCCAGGAGTTTGGCATGACTCAGAGTGAAACTAAACACTCTATGTTTTATCGGCATTCTGCTTCGAGTCTCTGTATTTATCTGGTGGTCTATGTTGACGACATTGTTATTACCGGCAATGACCAGGATGGTATTATTGAATTGAAGCAACATCTCTTTCAACGCTTTCAGACTAAGGATCTGGGCAAACTAAAGTATTGTCTGGGTATTAAGGTTGCTCAGTCTAGCTCAGGTATTGTGATCTCACAACGGAAGTATGCCTTAGATATTCTTGAGGAGACAAGAATGACAGGTTGTAGACCTGTTGACACTCTGATGGATCCGAATTCTAATCTTCTTCCAGGACATGGGGAGCCTCTTGACGATCCTGCAAGATATAGGCGGTTCGTTGGTAAATTAAATTACGTTACAGTGACAAGACCTGACATTTCCTTTCCGGTGAGTGTTGTGAGTCAGTTTGTGGATTCTCCGTGTGATAGTCATTGGGATGCAGTTGTCCGCATTCTTCGGTATATAAAATCAGCTCCAGACAAAAGTTTATTATTTGAGGATCGAGGCCATGAGCAGATCGTTTGATACTCAGATACTGATTAGGCAAGATCACCTTCTGATAGACGTTCTACATCTAGATATTGTGTCTTAGTAGGAGGAAATTTGGTGTCTTGGAAGAGCAAAAAACAGAATGTGGTTGCTCGATCTAGTGCAGAAGCAGAATATCGAGCAATGGCTATGGCGACATGTTAGCTAATTTGGATCAAACAGTTGCTCAAGGAGTTGAAATTTTGTGATATTAGTCAGATGAGACTTGTGTGTGATAATCAAGTTGCTTTTCATATTGTCTCAAATCCACTGTTCCATGAGAGAACTAAACACATTGAGATTGACTGTCACTTTGTTAGAGAAAAGATACTCTCGGGAGATATTGCTACAAAGTTTGTGAAGTCGAATGATTAGCTTGTAGATATTTTCACCAAGTCCCTCACTGGTCCTTGTATTAACTACATATGTAACAAGCTCGGTACATATGATTTATATGCACCAGTTTGAGGGGAAAATGTTAGAATAATTATGTAAATAGTAGTAAATAACCCTAATCCCATATATATTAGGAATAAGACATGTATTATATATATATATATATATATGACTCATTGTATCAGTGTCAACATATGTGAATAATATCATATTTTCTCCCGCGCGTTCTCACAATTGTAATAGAGATTCCTAGTGTATTTAAGTAGAGCTTAAGACTATGTACTACCGGTTTTGGGGTGTGTTACTGTTTGGTCATTTTGTCGATGCTATGTCACTTATCCGTTTACGCTTTTTAGTTAATTGGATTTAATCTGTTATTCTCATCATGTGCTATTCTGACATAGCATTAGAGACTAGGTGCAACCACGATTCTTAATGTGGGATTTTGGGGTCATGCCATTTATTGATTTTCAATTAAAGAGTTTTTTATTGGGTAAGTTGGGTAATATGGCTATGAGTTTTGTTAGTTAATACCAAATATAATATTAGGCCAAACCAATAACATATACTTCATCCGTTTCAATTTATATGAACCTATTTGACCGGACATGGAGTTTGAGAAAAAAAGAATGACTTTTAAACTTGTGGTGTAAAATGAGACACATATATTTTGTGTGACCATAAATATTGCATAAAAGTAAATTGTTTTAAATACGAAAAGTGGGCATTAAATTATTTCAAATACGAAAAGTGGACATTTTTTTTGGCACGGATTTAAAATGAAATAGATTTACATAAATTAAAACGAGGAGGGTAATTTTTGTCATTTTTAAGCATACTATTATATACTATACATTTTGTCATTTTTAAGCATACTATTATATACTTCACCTTTTGTCATTTCTAAGCATTTATAATCGTTTAAAGTAATTGTTCAACTGATATTAGTATTAATAGTTAATAGTAACACATAAGTTGGAATTAATGTGTTTTATGTCAATAGCTCTCATAATGCTGATATCCTCGGTTGTAGTAGCACAGTGAATGTGATATTCGACATCACCAATGAGGCTAGCAGCAGCAGCAGCAGCATCAACAACAACAATTGGGACTCCCTCGTTATTTCCTCCCTACACTACTACTAGGAGTAGTACTTTGGCATATTTGCCGGTCTCTTCTACTTCACCACCCCCAACTACTTGCATCTTTTCGCTTCCCATCACCCCCATCTCAGGTTTCTATCTCTTTCTCTCTATTTGTTTGTGTGCAAAAGTACTGCTTGATGGACCCTTAAATATCAAAATTTATTTGCCAAGATTTTTGCAGAAATACAATTCTGAGGGTAAAGCTGAGGCTTTTTTCATCTTTAGATGACAACTATAAGTGACTGAAATGTGAAAGTAAAGGAAAATTATTGGTTTGGTATTAGCAATACTTTTTTGTTATAGGTGAATTTTCTGCTTGATTGACCCGTCAAAATCAAAGTATTTCTTGCAGAATTATAATCCAGATGTTAAAGTTGGGTGGTTTTTTTTCTTGTTGCCTTTAGATGACAATTGAGGAAAATGATTAGATGGGTATTTTCGTACTTTTTTGTTCCATTTGTGTTTGCTCTGGAATTTGCTCATATCGGTGTCAAAGACAGTGTTTTTCATTTTCTTATCACTTGATTTAACTGTGAAACTACTGGAGAATGACAAGATGAGCATATCATATATTTCATTCTGTTTGTTTTTCTTTGGATTTTGCTTAAATGAGTGTTTTTAAAATAGATTTTTTTCATTTAGTTTTGTCACTTAATCTGCTTTGGTATATCTGAGATGGATCATGTGTTTCGTGGTTGGTGCTAACTTTGCAGGGAGGAAGAAGTTATTGTTACGAGCTCAGAATCTTGATTGTGAAAGTGAGGAACAATTAATAGTGGATCAAATGGATTTGAAGAAAGAATTTCCTGAATTGAACAAGAATCTATACCCTTCTATAGAGCCATATAGTACTGGGTTTTTGAAAGTTTCAGACCTTCATACTATATACTGGGAGCAGTCAGGAAATCCTAATGGCCATGTGAGTTTTTTTCCCCCTATTTTCTCTTTCCACTCTCTTGTTATGTTGGCATTGGAACAGAATCTATTCATGCTTCTTGAACAAATCAAACTGATTTTTATGCCAGTGTCGAGGAGAAAGATTAAAAGAGAAAGCAATTACTTAAAAATCTGAGAATTGCTGTTAAATATACATAATGGATCTTTATTTATTTAAATCTTCCCTTGAAGATAAGGTGAGTTAAGAGCTAAGATGCTCTTTGTCTGTTATTGCTCGACTCAGTTTTTCTTTTTAGTCTGTTCAGTTACGTGGAGGCGTAGTTGTTGGCGTCTATTCTATTACCTTGATGGTTTGATCAATTTCCATAATTGAAACTGTTCTTCAAAAACAATCACTTTAATGTGAACTAATATTACTCTATGTTTTTATTTCAGTGTGACATTTTCGTTGCACAAACGCCCGCTTTATTCTCTTAGATATTTTGGGACAAGCTTCTCAAACTTCACAAATCAACTCTAGAAGTCATTATATGCGATTACTTCCGCCTCTTCCTGAAAGTGCTCTATTGTTTCTCTGCTGCCCGATTTATCATGGGAAAAGGGCCAAATTTACCTTTTTACTTTCAAATGTTGTCTGTATTTAACCTTCGTTATACTATTCGGCCAAATTTACCCCTACTGGCGAAAATTTACCCCTATCGTTAGCAAACTTTTAAAAATTACCCCCAACCCTAAAGGCAACCCAAAATCTCCTTAAAATTACCCACAATCTTGTAATCCTTTTGTAGAGCTAGCACACTCTTGATGTCAATCTAATGAAATTCTTTTACTTGTCAAAATGAATCACATATTTCTTGGTGGATTTAATTTGACTTTATTTTTGATGATTCACACTCTTCTTCTTATCTTCCGTCCCTTTTATGGCTTAGACAGTTATACCAAACTTACCTAAGCAACAACAGCGAAGGAAACCTTAGTAGGCAGATCTCAAGATGAAGAGAGTGAAACTAACCCTGTAACTTTTGATCTTGATCTTATGGTTGCAGTCAGGAAAGGGGAAAAAAAGCCTGTATAACTCCCTGATAGCACCAAGAGGGTGCTAGCTCTATAGAGGGGTTACAAGATTGTGAGTAATTTTTAGGAGATTGTGGATTGCCTTTAGGGTTGGGGTAAGTTTTAAAAGTTTACTAACATTAGGGGTAAATTTTGCCGGATAGTATAATAGTAGGGGTAAATTCGGCTGGATAGTATAACGAAGGTTAAATGTTGATATTATCCCAGAGTAAAGGGGTAAATTTGACCCTTTTCCCTTGTATCAAACTCAATCATGTTATAATGAAGGACTTTTTTTGGAATACAAGATCTACTTTGGGAAAGGGGACACTGATTTTACTACTTCTAGAAAGGAAAATGGGGCAGATAAGGGGCTTAGAAAAGTTGCTGAAATGAAGAGCTATTTGGTACCTCTAGGAAGGTAGTGTTGAATTTAATCAAGTATGGCCCCTTCCATTTTCTGTTCTTTGGTAATTTATCCTTGTTTTATTTCTTCTGAAATCCAGGCTTGATTGGTAATAAATGTTAATTTGGCATCCTGAGTCAGAAAATTAAACAAGTTTGAGTTTTACAACGTTTTTGGAAAGATCCAAGTATTCCTAGTACGTGGCCACTTAAAGTTCTAAGTTTGCTTGCCTACCTTACGATAACCTTTTGCAAATTGCAAAGGCAGTATCAGATTTCAACCTTACATGTGTTCCACTTTCTCAAAGGAGTCCCAACTCTCTTTTCCTTACTAGGAGAAATTGTGGAAGGTGAGGGAGCAAGCATATGAAGAGTGCATTTTTCTTGTGACTCCATAAGTGATTGATCAGTTTCCCTCTTTTTGGCGGACAACATTATTTTATCGGAAAGTGATATATATGCCTATTCCAAGTTAGGCCACATGTTCTCATGTTCCTACTCTCTGATGTCTTCACATGATGCAGAAGTAGAGTTGTTCTGTCCAATTTTATTAGAGCCATCGCTTCGACAATTAAAGCGATGAAGTGATGCAAAGTGAGGGGCCATCGCTTCATGGGTGAAGCCATTCATGCATGCTCTCGCAAATGATCTGTCGAGAAACAATCGAATCTTTGATTCTCATCTTTGAGGAGTTGGATTGATATCGGCTTTATTGTACGTTGATGTTGAAATTAGTTTGAAATTGATTATTGTAGTACTAAATTCATAATCATATGGTACTCTTTTTATTTTCCTAAATTGTGCGCTTCACTTGTCGGTTCACTTCAAGCCCCAAGGACCTTGTTGCTTTTTTACGCTTTTTGGATTTTGAAATAATGGTTCTGTCACTGGGTTGTTGAAATAATTGTTGCAGACCCCACTAGTAGGATTCTACTGGGTTGTTGTTGTTGGTTCTGTCACCTTCCAAGATGGTGAAATCTGCTTTTAGCAATGATATGTTGGTGTATATAGTCATTTTGAAAATTAGTTCCATATTTGCAGCCAGTAGTTTTTCTCCATGGAGGCCCTGGAGGTGGGACTTCACCAAATAACAGGAGGTTCTTTGATCCTGGCTTCTACCGAATCATTTTGTTAGATCAGGTAGATATTCTTATTTAAGAGCTAGTCCATGCACTCTGCTTTTTCTAATGAAGACATTGCTATCTTCCAGAGAGGTGCAGGTAAAAGCAAGCCTCATGCTTGCTTGGAGGAGAATACAACATGGGATCTTGTTGGGGATATTGAAAGATTAAGAGAGCACTTAGAGATTCCAGAATGGCAGGTGCAAATAAGCTCTCCATTTGTGACTGCTTGGTGGATGGTACTTCATAAGCCTCTCATAAGCGTGATTTTTGTGCAGGTATTTGGTGGCTCATGGGGAAGCACTCTCGCTCTTGCATACAGCATATCACATCCTGACAAGGTTTAATACATGACTAATTATTCTTTAAGTTCAGGGTTTTTAGAACTTATTAGGGGGAAATTATAGATTCTGTTTTCAAAATCATGTTAAATCGATGTTATTGCTAAATATTTTAAATTTCCTTTCTGTTAAGGTTACTGGTATCATTCTCAGAGGAATATTTTTGTTGCGGAAGAAAGAAATTGATTGGTTTTATGAGGGTGGAGCTGCTGCAATATTCCCTGATGGTAAGCTTCTGAATATCATGCGTTCATTTGATTGAGTACATAATGGCTGAAGAAAAATCAACTAACTGTAACTAGTGAGCAGCTGTATCGAGATGTTCTAGAATCTGTAAACTATTTCATCCGATACTTGAATGTATTAGTTTTGTTGTGGATGAACTTGAATTATATGTAGGGTATAAATGTACACTAATTTGGCGTGGGAGTTCCTATGTGATTTTTCCGTATGAAGATAAGGAACAACTTTTCCATTCACTTGTGGATCTTTGAAAACTCACTTCTAAGCCAAAGTTTTAAGTAGTTCTTTATCTCTAGTCCATGAATGAAATGCATTCTCCAGAGTGTATTTCTAATTTTGTGAACTCTGACGAGCTTGTGATAGGTCTATGCGAGTCACTCCTTTTAATGAATCTTTTCAAATTTTAACTAAGCAGTTGTCTTACTAAAGCTGCTTACAAGCACATTGTATTAAGTAGTAATTGCTTACTCAAAACTGGGAAATTGACAAGTGTCTAGGTCTAATCATCATTAAGGTGTTGTTTTCATTTGGGATGACGTTTATAGGTCTGATCATTAAGGTGTTGTTTTCATTTGGGATAATGTATAAGGGGACTGAAGATGTAGCTTTGGAAGTTAATGCCTCTTTATTTTGTGATCTGTTGCAGCTTGGGAGCCATTCAGAGATATGATTCCAGAGAATGAAAGGAAGTGTTTTGTTGAGGCCTACCACAAGAGATTAAATTCTGATGACCTAGAAACACAGGTAAGAAGATGATGTTTCGTTGTGTACGGCCTGTTTCTTTACCATTCCGGATTTTTGAATTTTGAATATGTTTTAGCAATTCCTCTTATGCACCTGGGAACTTCTATGTCACGACCCCAATTTTCCTCTGTAGTATGTCGTGACGGCACCTAGTCTCTACGACTAGGTAAGCCTAACACTTACTGAATTAATTAATAGAAATTAACCAACAAAATCTAATAAGCAGAAACCAAATATTTCTAAATGAAACCAACATTTCCAACATGAAATAATATCCCAAAACCGGTAGTACAAGTCATAAGCTCTAACGAGTTTACTAGAAAATCCCTAATTACAACTGTTCCGGAATAGCAATAAACAGTACGAAGTAAAATTTCAGAAGGTGACTCCAAGGCATGTGAACGCAACAGCAGGTTTACCTTGAGTCTCCACAGCAATGCTCGACCAACTAGCTAATGATCAACAACATCCGAGGTACCTGGATCTGCACAAAAATGTGCAGAAAGCATAGCATGTGTACACCACAGCGGTACCCAGTAAGTATCAAGACTAACCTCGATAGATTAGTGACGAGGAATAGTCGAGATACCTACTGGACTAAGCAACCTGAACAAGTATAAATGTGGACTATCAGGGGACAATATCAATATAGAGCTAAGCATGATAACAATAACAAAACAATGCTTGTAATAGGAAACTAAGAGCAACAATTAGCAACAGGGAACAAACATGCAACAACGCTATCGAGTAAGCTGAGCACAGTTTAAGCCCGACGAAACAAAATAAAGGAAAACAAGTAACAACCCTATAAGAACAACCGTTTTCACACCAGATTTATTCAAGAATTTCCACGAGGTACCAAACCTCATAATCACAAATCATGGGTCCCGATTCATGAACCCTAATCACTTGGCATTTTGTGGCCACATTACACTTCATAACCGTACGGATGACTCACGTGTCAAGAGAGTGACAATATCTAATATCCGCACGGACTACTCACGTGCCAACAATAACAATGACTCATGACCGCATAGACAGCTCATGTGCCAATAAAACAACTCTCCCACAGAAGGCAAGTAAACGAGAGTACATGTAAATGGTCAATAACATCATGATTCATCTTCTTAAACCGATATGGGTGATTAATTACTCGTATGCTTGTGCCAGTATTCTATCACAATTCAAGTCAACAAGTAAGAGTAGAGACAATGAATGGCACATAAGAAACGATCACCCCAAAATGTACAAGGTATAACTCGCACAAGGTGGGCACGCCACTACACAAATATCAGCAACAACAAAGCCCCCATGCCATCACAAGTCATCACAAATCATTCCTCGGCATAACCTACCTTGTCTCGCCACGTGCGCTATAATAAAGTAAATGCTCGCTTTGTCTTGACGCACGCGTATAATAATATTCCCACCTTGTCTCGCCACATGCGCAAACCCACATATATAGCCGCCTTGTCATGCCGCATGTGCAAATATTAATAATAACATCAGCACGGACAACTCACGTGCGAACACCCCGACAATCTTCTCAACAATACCATGTGTGCCAAAACATAACAACACAATAAAATGAATTTCACAACATGTGCCCATATGCCACAACATTTCCTCAAAACAGTTTCAATACCACAACCATGCATAGCCCTCGGCTCAACAACACTAAGTACAACAGCAACACCAATAATAACACGAGAATACGGCAATTAAATCAACACAAGAACTTCAGAACACAAAGAAACGGAAGAACGAGCTCACAACGAAAGACACAACAGGGAATAATGGTCTCAACAAGAATAGCTCAACAAGGGAGAGATAATGTGTAACAATGATTCCACAAAAGTACAATTCGACGATAAAAGAGATATCATGAATCAATGATTCCAAATAAGGATAAATCAACAATGAAAAGGGATAACAAAACTTCATTTAAGGTTGAGCAATTACGGAAGAGATAACAACAATTTCAATTAAGGACAAGCAGATACAGAAAAGATAATAATTTCAATTAAGGATAAACAGTTACGGAAAAGATAATAATAACTTCAATTAAGGATAAGCAATTTCGGAAAAGATAGCATGACAATAAAAGAGGCAACAACTTCAATTAAGACATAAGAGTTCAATTGGCAACAAGGGTAAAACATGAATCAATTAATTCCAAATAAGACACGATAGGGTAAATTTAATAAATGGAGGATTTAACATGATAAAACAACTTCATATCTAATGAACATAAGAACCTAAGGGCTCTAAACAGTCAAATTTCCACGATTAAGCCCGAGTACGTACTCGTCACCTCGCGTACACGGCCTTCACATGACACAATTAGCACAAATGACTCAAATCCTAAGGGGTAGTTCTCCCATACGAAGTTAGGCAAGATACTTATCTCAAAGAAGCTAGACCAATACTCTAAAATAACCTTCTCGAGTGAAACAACCTCTGGACGGCTCAAATCTAGCCAAAATAACTTCAAATCATAAATAAAACTCATAGGAAACAATTCCGGATAATAAAGCTTCAATCTTTAATTAAAACTAAAAATTCAACCCAAAAAGTCAACCCCGGGTCCACACCTCGGAACTTGACAAAATTCATAAAATCTGAACAGCCATTCCGATACGAGTCCAACCATACCAAAATTATCAAATTCCGATAACGACTCGCCCTTCAAATTCTCATTTTACATTTTGAAAGATTTTTACAAAATTTCCCATTTTCTTCCATTCAATTCACTAATTTAATGATAAAAATAAAGATGGAATCATGAAATAAAATCAAATCCGGGTAGAGAACACTTATCCCAAACCAACACGCGAAGAGACCTTCAAAAATCGCCCAAATCCGAAGTCTACAACTCAAAATATGATAAAAATGGCTAACCCTTGAAATTGAGTACTTTTATATTCTGCCCAGATATAGATCGCAGAAATACATATGCGATTGCGAAGAAGAAACAATGACGTCCCCAAAAATGCACTACGCGATCGCAAAAGAAGAAACACGAACGCGACTTACAACCAAGTCAAGCATCGCGAATGCGGAAAGAGCTATGCGAACGCGAAGAGGAATCATGGCCAGCTCCCACAACACATCGCGATCGCGACAGTGAATACGTGATCGCATAGAGTACCTAAAGCATCAGAAAACCAGCAACTCTAAAACATGACGGAATGGCTCGAAGCCCATCCGATAACCAGGGTCCCCGGGACCCCGTCCGAACATACCAACAAATTCCATAGCATAACGCGGACCTGCTCGAGGCCTCAAATCATATCGAACAACATCAAAACTATGAATCGCACCTCAAATCGAACTTAATGAACTTATGAACTTTCAACTTCTACAACTGGCCGAATCATATCAAATCAGCCCGGAATGGTGTCAAATTTTGCATGCAAGTTGCAAATGACATAATGGATCTAATCCAACTCTCAGAATCGCAATCCGAGCCCGATATTAACAAAGTCAACTCTCGGTCAAACCTCTTAACCATTCAAAACTTCAACTTTTCAATTTTCACCAAAATGCTTCAAATTATCCTACGGACCTCCAAATCCAAATCCGGACACACACCCAAGTCCAGAATCACCATACGAAGCTATTGGAACCATCAAAATGCCATTTCGGAGTCGTTTACACAAAAATCAAACTCCGGTCAACTCTTACCGCTTAAGCTTCTAAAACCGTGAACTGAACTCGACCACACACGCAAGTCATAACACATAATACAAAGCTGCTCGAGACCTTAAGCTGCCGAACGGGATGCTAATTCTCAAAACGACCGATCGGGTCGTTACATTCTAGGTATTTAAAAGTTTCCTGCCTTTTTAAGGTAGACAAAAAGTAAATAAATAAAAATAAAAATGATGCAACTGTCTTCTTATTTCCTGTGATATCCTTTGATGTTTCACTTTTGCCTATTGGTGAAATACAACATACATATCCCCTGAGATCAGAAACTTTTGAATAAATCTAGGTGTTTTTTTCTTTTCTGTATAACTTGATTTAATTTTTAATAATCAACAATGGTTGAAGCTCTTTTTGTTCATGTGTTAGTGGCTTACGGGTAATGTTATTGAGATAGAAAAGTTTGAAGTATTCATGATACTTACTGCACATAAACCACTATATTCTCTTAACTAAAGAAGTCAAGAAATAAGTTATGCATGGATTAGTAATGGGAAAAAATGCCCTCTCTTGGGAGATGTGTAACCTTTCCTAATTCTCTCCCTAACCATCTTTTCCGATAGCTTTCGCTTTCGACGATCATTGCTTTTCGAGAAGGTGACCGAAAAAGAGAGGATGATTATAAGAGAGTATCTCAGAACTCTAAGCGTCGCATTAATGAGAGACAGTCGGCGCCCTCGAGTTCCAAGACAACCGAAGTACAAGGAACGGAGACACATGCCACGAGTTTTTAAAAACTTAAAATTGCGTTTGGGAATGGGACACGCGTCGGTTAAAGGAAAGGATCAGGTGTCCTTTAATAAATCTGGGCTCTTTAATAACTCTAACGCAAACAAGACGGGTAAATATACTCGGGTGAAGGGCACTAATAATCCAAAACAGAAGGCAGGCCTAAAAGAGAGTTTTAATCGGAGAAACATGGGCCAGAAAGTTCGTTATAGAGTAAAGGCGTCCTTTAATAAATCTGGGCTCTTTAATACCTCTAACGCAAACAAGACAGGTAAATATACTGGGCTGAAGGGCATTAATAATCCAAAACAGAAGACAGGCCCAAAAGAGAGTTTTAATCGGAGAAAGATGGGCCAGAAAGTTTGTTATAGAGTAAAAGTGGTCGACCCATATATCTAGAAGTCTTCTTTTACTACTGGAGATCTAGAATTATCCAACTCTTTTCGATCCTTTAGCTGTTGAAGTTGAGGCGATAAAAGCGAAAACCTTTTCTTTGGAGGAGAAGGACATGGAAGATATACAACAACAAGAAAACCAAATGAGAGATTTTGGGCAGTTGAATG